CATCTGCCGAAAACAGTGACTCCAATCCAACAAAGTAGAACTTTCTTTGAAGATAGGCCTGTTATCTTTGCTGCTTGTTGCAATCATCTGCAAAAAACAGTGACTCCATTCCAACAAAGGAGAACTTTCTTTGAAGATAGGCCTGTTATCTTCCTGCTTGTTGCAATCATCTGCAAAAAACAGTGACTCCATTCCAACAAAGGAGAACTTTCTTTGAAGATAGGCCTGTTATTTTGCTGCTTGTTGCAATCATCTGCAAAACAGTGACTCCATTCCAACAAAGGAGAACTTTCTTTGAAGATAGGTCTGTTATCTTTGCTGCTTGTTGCAATCATCTGCAAAAAACAGTGACTCTATTCCAACAAAGGAGAACTTTCTTTGAAGATAGGTCTGTTATCTTGCTGCTTGTTGCAATCGTCTGTCAAACCGCTACTCCAATCCAACAAAATATTTTTTTCTGAGGTCAGGTCTGTTATCTTAGTTCTTGTTTCAATCATTCTTCAAATAGTTATTCCAAGCCAGCAAAGAGAAAACATTTCTTTGGAGGTAGGACCGTTACTTTGGTTCTTGGATTCTTTCTGGTGTAATATTTAATGATAGTTGTCCATGAGACCCTCCCATTTCATGATCTAACCCACCTTCTCACAGCTTTTCCATTTGAGAAGAGATGAAGGCCTCTTCCATGAGTCCTGTTCTGTTAAAACAACAAAACAGGTCAGAGGAAAAGTTTCACCGACCTCTTCACTAACCCATTATTGTTTTTACACAACAATTCTTTGGATTTTTTTCAATCAGTATCTTCAGGTTTGTTCATTCAACTTTTATTTCAATTGTCAGTTTAGAGTTGGTGTTTGAATACACCTTGCAGGCTAAAAATATATACCCATCAGAGTTAGTCAAAAAATACGACGTTGAACACTCATTGGAAAGGTATTTACCCCGATAAACAGAATACTTTCCACAGATTGATATTAATATTGTTTTTGTTATTTTTTATTGAATTATACATAATACACTGTCATACAAATATCGGCAATATTATCATAATAGTCAATTTGTTTTTTTTTTTCTAAAAGACGTTTTTTTTTCTTGACATTTTTCGTAGACATTCGATTCCATCAAGCTGTATCGTGAAACGTTAGATCCCGAACTGTAGGGGGATACTACGCAACAACAACAAAACTGTTGGTGTTTAATATGTCTTTATAAAGTAAACTCCTCCTTCACCGAACTATGCAATAAAGTTCTTTGTTGGACATCTGCTTTGCAATAAAGTTTTTTGTTGGACATTTGTCTTTTTTATTACTCTATTTATTTAGGTAACGAGATCATAAGAAGAAGATAAAAAAGGTGGAAAGTTATAATGTGACGGTCAATCCCACTATTCGTTGGTGAAAGAGTAGCCCTAGAGTTGGCTGTGGGTGGTGATGACTAGCTACCTTCCCTCTAGTCTTACGCTGCTAAATGAGGGACGGCTAGCTCAGATAGCCCTCGTGTAGCTTTGCGCGAAATTCAAAACAACCAACCAACTTTCTTCGTTTATAAATGTAAAAAATATGGATTAAATGTATAGTTGTTAATTTCAACATGTGTATAGAGCTCATTTCTTTACAATGTTTGGAAGAAAATGTAAATCCTGTATATATACATGTACATATGTATGTATTCAACACATTTATGATGCGAGTTAAACGCTTAGTTCGAAAAAATCAAGGGTTATAGAATTTCATGTACAACACATTTTTTATAGTTTAGTCTTAAAAACGTGTTTATTGTTGGTACATCTTAAACTACAAAAGTTTTGTATTGTATTGCGTATAACATCTTTTTAATTGGTATTCTTTTAAGCTCTTTTTCTTTACATTAGATAAAGGTTGCATAATTCTAAATTTATGTGAAATAATATTGTTCTTTTCACGTGATCAACAGTTTTATAGCGTGTAGTTTTAAACTATTAGCTACATAATTTTAATTTTTGACGCGTAAAATTCGGGGCCCTGCCTTATTTCTTAAAAAATGGCCGTGACGAAAGCCATCACTTTTAAATTTTTATTACTGTTTGCAAAATAAACTCTATGTGTGAGATACGTATGTGGTAAAAATATTTTTAAAGTATATGAAAGAATAGTGAATTAAAGTATGGGAAAAAAATCTTCTGCGTAAACATTTAAACAACTTATAGAGGGCAGCAGTTCATTTTCAATCAGTGATACTTAGAAGAATATGTTATAACAACTCAAAATTACAAATGCTAGCTATTTTACCCACAGTTTCACGCGGAAATGATCACAAAGAACGCGATAATAAGAAATCATAAACAAATGGAAAGAATAAGTTAACTATATTTTATTTCAGTAAATCTTATGACCGTACATTCGTTCATTAATTATACGGGATTGATGTTAGTAGTAATAGATACCAGTGGTCAACATTTGTGATAATAAAGGCAACATCAAACCTTAGAACTAAAATTAGTTTAATAAGAAAAAGAATGCAATGAATTGGTGATTAAGTTACCCAGAGACAGAGTTATGTCACACTTTCAGCGAAGAATATAGCTTCAAGTGATTATTAGTGCACCAGAGTAGCATACTGTTTACGATCAGTTGAAATGAAACAAGAGGGAATCCTCAATAGTTGCGGCACTTGAAATTCTTTTATGCAGGATTAATGGAAATTAATATATGAGACCTTTTTTTTTCTTTTGTATTAGCTATATTTTTGTGCTCCAGCAATACAAAGTGTGGGGCGCGCGTATACCCGATTCGATTTTATTACTCATCAGAATCTCTACCAGCCTACCCTCAAATTAAAATTATTTTAGGCAGGATTATAATAAATTAATCTATCAGACCTCGGGCGCGGTCAAATACATCAATCGAAAGGGTTTGACCCCTGTGTTCAAAACTGTAACTAGATCTCAAATCGGTCAAGAGATGACGGAGCTATGAGGTAAAAGTTTGTACTTGAAAACTCAGAGCCGCTATGCCGCGGCTAAAAACACAAAATATGAACCAATTGAACATCTGTAAAACTGTAGTTGGCGTTAGTCGAGTTCGTACAAGATAAATTTAAAAGCCATATATATATGGCTGTCATAAGTAGGTTAGAAACACACTAAACATTGAGATGTGATTAAGTTCAGTCCCAGCTTCAGCTATTCTTAACTGGTGGGAGAGCAACGAGACCTTAAAATGGGGCCAAATTTAAAATTCGATTAATGGAGAGCGTTTGCTTGAGGGTACAACAATTTGGAGGGCCAGTTCCCCTTGCCAACGCCAGTTCCTCTTACGGTACATCCTTACGAACAAACTAAGAGGAATCCTCAATAAATATTCGCTATGGAGTCAGCTCTGTAATTTATGTAAAAATGAGTATGTAAACCCTAAAAGCGTTCTTCTACTCAACGCCTGGTTATGACCCGATTAAAGAGAGAGGAAAAACAACGACACGTGTTTAACGGTTTAGATAAGATTGAAATAATGTAGAAATGAAGGTTACCAAATTAAAATGAATACGGGTCAGACCTATTTCTACTGTACGCTTACAGGTCAATATGGAAACGAAATCAACTTTATAAAAATCCTGTTGGACCTTCGGAATATCGCTTCGAAACCATTCACTAGACTATACCAAGAGATTGTAATATGTTTAGCATACCCTAGTTTGTTTAATGAATGAACTTAGATAGTTCAGTGATTAAGTAATTTATGTGAGTTTGATCTTGGAACTCAAGCTTAAACATTAGTGACACAATGTTAGCATGCTTAGGAACAGTATCTGAAGTAATATGATGAACAACACCTTTTTTTCCCCTTTCTAAAATAACTTTATCAGCAAAAATAAATATTCTAGTGTATTATTATATTAAAATAAAACAGCATGAGGGAATCGACCAAGAAAAAACCCCGATCATATCAATATAAATATTATATATTTTCTAATTTGCATAAGATATTGTTACGTCTCCATTTGTTAATTAATTTTCCGTAAATTCGTTCCGACGAAACTTTAGCGACACAAGTCCTTTCTTAAATAAAACTGGTTTATTCTTTCCGAATACAACTTTACGATACACTTAATTTCAACAGTCGCTCTATAACACTATAATTCACGTCTCACGTGGCCAACAATATTTTTTCCCCATACATTCAATTACTCATTACACTGTTGTCCCGTCACGTGTCTAGTAAATGCTTGGGCATTCTTGAAGGAACAGGATATTTCTAGAAACAAGTGGCGTGATACTAGTCACGTGACCTCGCTGACGCAACAATATTATAAAGTAATATTACAAAACTACCTTTTTAAAAAAGGTTATTCTAAACTGTAATAGTCTTACATAGAATGTTTAATATGAAATAGATATATCTACGCCTGTTTTTTTTTTAAACGAGTCATTTTTTTAACAAGCATAGATTATACAAATTCATGATTCACGTGAAATGTTCAATGTTTCGTTTCAAGAGATACGTTTCAGTATTTTATATTTATAGTAAAGTATCTTGACTGTTGATTAGTCTTAGGATGATGAAACTTATGTAAATGTTTTCGGTTTTATATCAAAATATTAATAAATAATAAGTGTCATAATACTCTCACAATCGTACGCGTGATTTACCGTTGTTTAATTTGTAACCTCCTCATTTTTTTAGGAGATGCCATCTGTTGACCAAACTAGTGATTTCGGTCACTTTCATCGGGTTTTAGATCCAGGTGGACCTGGGAGGGTCAGGTGCAAACTTGTGATGGATGCACTGTTGGAATATTAAACGCGCATAAACTAGGGCGTTGAATACACAAATGTTTATATTATGATATTCAATACCCTTATCAGGGTCATGTCCATTTATGTACACTGTTTATCATTCCCATTGGGATACACTTGCTTTCAAAGTCCATATATATATATATACCAATGATTCATTTGGTAGTTTACACTAAATGTATTCATATCAATACCCTATTTAATACATTATTTTATAAACCACAAAATTATATATTATGTACGTCTGGCAATAGGTGGCTGATTACTAAACCTATAGTACATGTTAATAGGTGAGAGGTACTTAGGCTCATGTCCATCGTGTATGATATAGCGTAACATTTCATTCTTGTGGAAGTTTTTCTTGAAATATTCGAATAATCTGCTCAGAAGTCTGTCTTGGAGCGGTTTGCCGTCCCTAATTAAACAGTGAAAGACTAGAGGGAAGGCAGCTAGTCATCACCACCCACCGCCAACTCTTGGGCTACGCTTTTACCCACGAATAGTGGGATTGACCGTCACATTATAACGCCCCCACGGCTGAAAGAGCAGGCATGTTTGGTGGAACAGGGATTCGAGCCTGCAGATTGCTAGTAGAGCGCCCCATAACCACCTAGTTTGCGGATTTGAAGCCAAGGCTTAAAATTATACACAAAAAATAATAAAAAAAAAACGGATGTAGTCTTTACAAAGAAATTGTTTGTTTTACAAACCCTTTTACTATTCTAAATAATTGAAAATTTAAATAATTCTCAATTCGATGTGCATGTCATCGTTTTAATCTAATGTACACGGGGTCAGTCTAAAAATCAGATATGTTATTAAAAGTCATTGTACTCAAGATATGTCTGTGAATTGATGACGTTGTCTGACTCAGATTCTGACAAGTCAAGAGTGAAAGGTGATGTTCATGTGAAGTATAAAAATACTTTTTGTCAAACGTTCAATGTTCATATTGTATTTGTAGAACCTTCGAAATGCACATCTGTATTTTTTTCAGTATCCCTGTACACTGTATATGATATTTACTCTCCTCTGCCACGAACTGTTGCTAAATCAGTAATGCAGGGTAAAATGAATAATTAACAACTGACATCAAATACATAGAACCATGTTGAATGGCACTTTGATCCCCATCCGTGCGTATAGGGTTATCGAATACTCACAAAACAGATTAATAAATTATTGTTTTTAGGGACTTTTTCACTAAGTTAAATCTTGATGTAAGCATCTTGCCCCAGCGCTATACTGGAGCCTTTGATTGGCAACGATAAAGCACGTGGCCTATTGATTGTTTAAATCGCCCTTCATGTGATTGAGCCTGAGCCTCACCTTTTCTGAGAAATCACGAGCAGGCGTAAAAAAAAAAAAGCATGTGAATGAATTTTATCTTTATTTGTGATGCCTTTTGTTGCAATATTGTCCTAAAATAATACATTACAAACAATTATATTGTTGTATTGTATTTAATTATCTTTGTTTTTCTGATACTTGGTATCCATTGTCGCTTCTATACTCATAG